GTCTAGATATTATAAATCTCCCGAATCTTCCAAAATACGAAGGTTTCTCCGATATAGCCACGAATTTCCCAAAAGAAGAGTTCTGAATTATCGCACGCTCTTCCTCATCAAGAGCATTCATAATAGCTCTAATACCATTCGATGGCCCATAAGAAGTAACCCTTACACCGACAGGCTCTTCTCCAGCAGCAAACATCCTCCCCGGAAGCTCGATTTCTCGCTCATTTTCATCCATCTGTGTCTAAGAAAAATCAACTTAGCCGCATGCAAACATGGAAAGTAAAATTAGAGATATAACTAGTAAACAAATTCAGTAATTTCACTTCCAAACGTTTTTTTGCTATGCTCAGAAAAGCTAACAGAGAAACCAAAAAACTTTCGCCCAATAAAATCAGAACCTCACCGCCTCTCTAAAAAAAAGAACTTTCTCTCTCTACAAAATATGAGAACACGAAAGGTTTGGCAAATTAAAAATTATAAAATAAAGAGATCTATACATATACTACACTCGTATTTACATCTCGATCAACTTTACTTTCAAAAATATCTCGTAAGATATGCTTCCTGACACGCCGAACAAATGCTATGCCTATACAACAACACTCTACGCTTAGCTAAGTCAGTAAAATATAGGGGCATAATTGTCTCTGCAAAAGTCGAACAGTATCGTTGTTATCTGAGCAAATACATCATAATTCTTTGCTACTGACTGCAAATTCTCTTTTTTTTTAAAACAAGACAAAACCAACATGTAAAAATTATCATATTTTTTGCTACCAACATTTGTTAAATTTTCATTATATTTTAATTTTTCAATAAACAATTAAAATTTATTTATTTACCAACATATTGATGGAGAGTAATCATTTCATGCAATTATTTGAAGCTGGAGAAGAAATTTGGGAGATTTTTTTTTGTATAATTTTACTAGGAAATGGTTGAACTGGTATAAACAAAAGTTGTCTGTTAAGTGATACGAAGATAAAACAGTAGAGCAAAAGGAAAAACATGAATGAATAAATAAAATAGGAAATTTTAAATTTTAAAGGTTTGTGTTTAAACCAAAAAAATAAAAAAAATTATTATCAAAATTCAAATCGAGAGATCTTTTGGACAAAATAATATGCATAAACATATGCAAACAATTAGTGAATTATTTTTAAAATTATGGAATTAATTTTAAAATTATTAATGAGTCTGGGGTAACTAAAAATATATTCGCATAGAACTAAATTATGTACTTATGTTGTATATATGTTTTACATAAATAAATTCAAATTTTTAAAATAAATATATAATTACTTTTCGATCCACAAAATTAGAAATACTACCATGATACAATTTTTTTCATGCCAAAATAGCAACCAAATCTATATCCAACCTACCCGGGCCAACCCACTAGTTATCTTCTAATTATACTATAACGGAGAAGTGTAACTAAACTAATCACCAAATCGCCACACATGTCTAATATAGACCGAGATAATGACATGTGTTAAATTCTAAAATTAATTAATAAAATGTAACGCTAAAAAATAAAAAATAAATAAAATAATTGTTAGTTAACTAACCAAATAATAAAAAAAATCTAATAGTATTAATCAGACTAATTAGAAAACAAGAAAATTCCTAATAATATAAAATAATTAGTTTTGAGAAAATATTAATT